GAGGTAAGGCACCCGCCGGAAAAGGGGGAAAAAATGGCAGACAAAAAAATGGCGGACAAAAAAAATGGTGGACAGCCTTGCTTGGCGACCCCCATGAAATGGTCGATCGACCCCAAATGGGGTCCCGACCCACAGGTTGAGAACCACTGCATTAGAAACTGTCAAGAGTGACTAAATAGGGGAATATACACCTGCACAGAATTCTTCTTCAAGGAAACTGAAGGTCTGCCCACATTTTTTGTATTCCTGGTGTTTTCCCTCCTGGCCAGGGTAGCCTTTACATTCCTCATTGATTTTTCATCTTCTGTGACTGAATTATTATTTTTGTATCAAATCATTCTTTGAGAACTTTAGTTCTGTGCACTTGGTCAGCCCATTTTACTCAAACAATACAAAATTAAGGGTGCCAGCTGTTTTCCTTCTGAAATTCTTATATCTACCTGGTGCTCCATGGTGTATGATCAGAGAATAATAGGACTGGGTTTTGATATGCCCAGTATTGAGTTTCACTTGCTCAAGCTACAGCAGTGGGACAAAGGCAGATGGAAAGTGGCTTAAAATATCCAAAGCCTATCTGATTCTAAATTAATATTTTCCCCCTTTGGAATGGGTTTGCGTGTTCATTTTGAATTGAATATAATTAGCTTTTCTGACTACTCACCCCTGCTTTTTTGAAAAATGTTTGGTAGGAAATAAACCTTAAACCTACTGATTCCCTAATTAAGTTAGTGTTTTTCAAATACCTTGTAGACCAGGTATATAGACCACCAGCTGCATATGGTCCTGGACAGCTAGTAAGGTAGCCCAAAAGATAATTAAAATATATATTAAAAAAAGAACTTTGCTACTTATATATACTAACTATATTATCTATTTTATATGTAGCCCAAGACAATTCCTCTTCAGTCCATGTGTCCCAAGCAAGTCAGATGGTTGAACAATCATGCCATAGACCTTTCCATTGCTACACTTTTATTTTTTTCAAATATAAGAGACAATAGTCTTAAAAAAATTGATGGGCAACATAATCATTGCACTTAGTTACCCTCTATTGCTAATATTTATTATAAATAAAGCATTGTTATTTACAGTGTAAACATCTACAAGACAAGGATGTTGTCTTATATAAAAAGAGCCAGTGTTAAATTTCTATTTGAATTTATGGAAGTTATTTTTCTACGGGAAAGTGATATAGCTTTGTGTTAAAGCCATACTTTGACTGCAACAGATCCTACTTTCAGTATCTAGCATTCCCAGGTAAGGATGGAGAAAATTACGGTACTTTATAAAATCTTGGAGATCTGCAATCAGTGTAGATCAGCATTTCCCAAGTAAAATGTATTCCAGAAGTATTATATTACAACTCTTATCAATTGGCTCCTCTTCATTTCCAGTAGTATTGTTCTTTTTTTAAAAAAAAAATCTCAGCAAGAAAAACAGTAGCATTTTCATATTGTCTGGGGATGTTGGGGTTACAGTTCCACCTATCTGGAGAGCAACCAGACTGGAGAAAGTTCATTTAGACAAGAGTTAAGAATCATGATTTGCTTTAGAATTTTTAAACATTTTCATAATTTTTCAAAGGCAAAAACTGTTTTGAATGATTCACAAAAATAAAATAGCATGTAAATATTACACAAGAATAATCATGAAGAATTTGACCCACAATGATACTGACCCATAATAATTAGTTTTGTATTCCTTCTTAGACTGCATAAATTTATATACAATGAAACCTTAATTTAACAGATCAAGGGAGAGGGAGGGTGTGTCCATTATTCCCAACTGTATTAAATCACAAATCATGTCATTTATTATAATTTAGATTATTTGCATAATATAAATGAAGCAGATTATGTTATTTCAATTTGCGTTGTTTTAGGAACCCTGTCATTTGGCAAATTATATAAATTATGAATGATGTAAAATTATCATAAAATATTAAGTTGCATTGGACTTGATTGTTACTTCAGGGCCTGTCCAGAAAAAATCTTAGTCTGTTGCATAAAAAGGGGTCCATTAAATTGAAGTTTGTTCTTTTGTGTTTTCAAATAGAATGGCAGTATATGGAAATGTGATGGAATAGAATTTTTCTATTTTTATAAAAAAAATATCTTTAGGTATTTTTCAGCAGTGTTACATTTTTTTTAAAATTGCCAAAACAAGGTTTTTTTGTTTTTTCTAAGTTGCATACCTGCTGCAGTTGCATAAAAAAGAAGTGTCTTCACTTCTGCTTTTCAGACCAATGCAACAGCTGTTTCAAGTTCAGGGAGAGGAAGATAAGACAGGAACCAAAGTTGGTCCTCAGACATGTAGCCTGACACAAAAGAGAAAAACAAAAGCTATTTTACTACTTTTCCAAATCTCCCTTTATAAAAGGTGTCTAGTGTTTCATCTCTTTTGTTATTTTGCTGCTAGACGCAGTGGTTCTCAACCTGTGGGTCAGGACCCCATTTGGGGTCGATCGACCATTTCACGGGGGTCGCCAAGCAAGGCTGTCCGCCATTTTTTTTATCCGCCATTTTTTTTGTCCGCCATTTTTTCCCCTTTTCCGGCGGGTGCCTTACCTCCCTTGGGCTGGGCCAGCTGGTGGTCGGCCTGCTCTGTCTCTGCCGCTTGCCAGCTACGCCTCTGCCGGCGCAGGGGGCAGAACCACGCATGTGCGGCGCTCCCAGGCAGGGAAAGCCCTCGACTTACGACCGGTTGGGTAGTCCTCGACTTACGACCGGTTTAGTCCTCGACTTACGACCGGTTTAGTCCTTGACTTACGACCGGTTGGGGTCACGGCATTAAAAAGGTTGAGAACCACTGTGCTAGAGAGAAAGAACTGAAGTGGGAGCCCCATTTGCTAGGTTATCATTTCTCTTTATAAAATTCTAGATTTTCCCCAAGCAGATACTATTTAGGTGTGTTAAGAGGGAACAAAGTGAGTAGCATATTGGGGATGATAAGAATTATAGTCTAGTCTTTAGTGTCTCTGAAAGATGCTGTTAGATGTTGAAGATTTCCAGTGAGAAATGTGTGTCTCTCTTTAAAGAAGCAACTGATTGCTTCATTATATTAGTGACTAATTCAATCAGGGATTCCTTGAAGTTAAGCAAAGCTGCTGAGGAAACCACTTCGGTGATACTGAAAGGCATGCATATTTTATACCACAAGACATCAAATTTGACACAATTGACAATTGGACGCCAGGTCTTGGCGTATTCGGGTCTTTTCCCATGTAAGATTGAGAGTATCTTGGCGACGTTTCGACGAGGTCCCACTCGTCATCTTCAGGCTGGGGTCTTCGGCTTCGTGCTTGTGCGAGCAAAGTGTGATCAGAGCTGCCATCTCTCTATAAATATTGGTGGGGGTGTGTGGAGTGCTGGCTTAGTTGCTGTAGGTGGATTGGCTGGCTGTTATTGTTTGCTGATTGTTCAGCTGTTTTGTAACATCCTGAGTAGTTGAGGTGCTGGCTGTGTGCCCATTAGTCTTTTGTGTTATAACGACCTGGGTAATGGGTTGTGTGATTACATCCTGAGATCTAGTGTAGTGATATCCTGAGTTTTGTGTTGCAACATCCTGGGTGGTTGGCTGTGTTGTAACATCCTGNTCACTAAAATCGGACCCATTTCCGACTCTGAAGTAGGGGCAAAGGACAATGGAATTATTTTAAGAAGAAACTGGACAGCCATTTGTCCAAAATGGTATAGGGTTTCCTGCCTGAGCAGGGGGTTGGACTAGATGACCTCCAAGGTCCCTTCCAACTTTATCATCATCATCATCATCATCATCATCATCATCATCATCATTATTATTATTATTATTTGCAAGTGAACACCAAGTAGAGCAGGGACTTGTGGACTTCAACTCCCAGAATTCCCCAGTCACTGGCTGGGGAATTCTGGGAGTTGAAGTCCACAAGTCTTCAAGTTGCCAAGTTTGGAGACTCCTGCGGGAAGGTTAACCATGTCTTGTATCAGCTCCGATTCCCGAAAGGGGCAAGATCAGGGAGCGAGGCAGTCTCCTGGCCTGTGCTCTTCAGCGGGAGCCCTCTGCCCTTCTCCCGTCCTTTCGACTGGTCGGGCCTCGGGGGTCAGACGTTGCGGCGGGAGACAGCCAGCCCGGCCTCGCGGTGCTTGTTTATTCCTTAACGATCCGATCTCTGTTGTTGTCCTTCGCCAGAGCCAGCTCAGCTCCGGGCAAAGAAAGCCAAACGGGGAAGCTTCCCTGTATGCCAGAGCCACCCTCCAGCCGGCCTGGGGCCCAATGACAGGTTGAGAGCTCAAGAGGGCGTTGCAGGAAAAAAATCCACTCGAGGTGACAGCCAAACTCCTCCTATCCTCACAATGCTTTGGTGTGTATTGTGGGGAACATGGCAGATGGAGATTAGAAGCGGGGCGGCTGCTGCGGCTTCGGCGGCTCCTGGCTCCCGCGCCACTTGTTGGCTGCCCTTCGGTGCCCTTGCCCTCGAGACGGCGAGGATGCAGTAGGGCGATTGCAGAGGATGGAGCCTTAGAAACGAGCGATCGGGTTGGTCGGGATTTTTTTTTCGCCGGATTACTTGAATGCCCGCGTGTGCGCAGCGCAGGCACGGGGAGCTCGGGGCCGTGCGCGCTTGGGATGACCCGGCCATGGAGGGGCAACGGCAGCGAGCCGGGCAGACTAGCCGCCTGCCGATGAAGACGCCCTGGAAGCGACAGGGGCCCGCGGCCGGGAGCAGAGCCAGCCACTGCTGCAGGGATCGGGTGCCGCTGGCTCCCTGCGGCGGCAGCAGCAGCAGCCGCAGCAGCCGCAGCAGCAGTTCCCGGTTGGGACTGGGCGCCCTTCGCGTAGTAACCCCGCGTTGCTCGTAGTATTGCGGCTCCGCGCGAAAGGGCCGACGCGGAGGAAAGGAAGGCGCGGGCATCCAGGTCGCAGCGAGGAGGAGGAGGAGGAGGAGGAGGAAGAAGAGGGGAAAAGGTGAGGGTGGAGGGGAGCAGGCAGCAGCACCAGCAGCACCACCAGCAACAGCAACCATGCTGCCCGGGGTGGGCGTGTTCGGCACCAGCCTGACCGCCCGGGTCATCATCCCGCTTCTAAAGGACGAGGGTTTCGCGGTCAAAGCGCTCTGGGGCCGCACTCAGGAAGAGGCGGAAGAGCTGGCCAAGGAGATGAGCGTCCCCTTCTACACCAGCCGGATAGACGAGGTCTTGCTGCATCAGGATGTGGATTTGGTCTGCATCAACCTGCCGCCTCCCCTGACCAGGCAGATCGCCGTGAAAACTCTGGGTGAGTCTCCGTGGAGAGCGTGGCGGGCAGCGGGCGAGACTTCCGAGGGGGGGGGAGGCCGTGGAAAAAGCGGCGGCGTCTTGAACTGGAAAAGGCCTGCTTGGAAGCCAAATCCCTGGCTGCCCTAGATGCCCTCTAGAGTGCCCTCTGATTAGGTATCCAACCTGCTTTGTCGTTTATTGGAAAGAAAAAGAAAAAAGGCTCTGCACATCCTTAGGGGCACAGGCTCAGTTTTTATTACTGCTTATGCGACAGGGCCTTTCTTTCCATTGATAAGCCCTAAATCTGAGTACTGCTCCATATCAAATCCCAGATTGTTTAACTAGTGCTTCAAAAGTCCTTTCCGGTATACAGGGGTGTAACTTTTGAATGCATTAAAGTGCCAAGCGAAGGCCCTCTTCATATGTTTTAGAGGTGTGCTTATAATCCTGGGCACTGAAAACAGGTTGCATTAGAACAGTGGTTCTCAACCTTTTTAATGCCGCGACCCCAACCGGTTGTAAGTCAAGGACTAAACCGGTCGTAAGTCGAGGACTAAACCGGTCGTAAGTCGAGGACTACCCAACCGGTCATAAGTTGAGGACTTTCCCTGCCCGGGAGCGCCACGCATGCGTGGTTCCGCCCCCTGCGCCGGCCAAGGCGTAGCTGGCAAGCGG